AACAGGGTTTTTTGTTGTCTTAGTTGAATTAGTTGTATCGCATATGTAAATTTCCTCCCGCTAATTGCCGCTTCGAATTTGAAGGAAAACCCGGCCCCATTCTTCTTGTCCGTGTGATGCACAAGACAGCTTGTTTGGGCATTTTGCTTGGTCAAACGCTAATGATATATTCTTCGTTTAATTATTATTCACAAAGTGAGGTTTGACTGATCTTTACATGGAGGTTCCTGTTATGACGGAATATTTCTTTTTGTTGCCACGGATAATCTGCAAAGGAGTGGAAACAACAAAAGGATTTCCTATTGCTTTTTGGATACTGATGGTGTCGCAGGTTTATGCTACATTTTAGGCTATAACGATTAGATATGTGGCACGCCGTATAATTATACGGCCTCTCTATGCTACCTATTGGATATACGTGGTTCACAAACACTGGAGTCTTTGCCGATACTTATTTTACGCAACCGGCGTAACAGACCATGTACGTGTTATGTTCAGTGTCTTTTTCGACGCTGACGGCTATGAGCGTGGACCTACTTCTCGTCATTCTGTTGGGCCTGAGATACAAAAATATTGTAACTTTGAGGCGCACGTATAACGTTTGCGTTGTATCTCAAGTCCCTGGTTCATTCTTTCATCTCAATTGCCGTATAACCTTTTGGGAAAGCTTTAGAGGTACATCATCTGCGCTGTCAGTCATCCGCGCTGTCAGTCATCATCAGGCTCAAGTACAAGATAATTTTTAACAGCAAGTGAACAAAACAAATGCACCAAACATGGCGCGATACAGAAAGGCTGTGTACAGTGCAGTGTGGGTGCATTTAGCATTAGTTTTCTGCTATGTACCAAACTTAACAGCAGAAATTATGATATCTCTGAGTTTAAACCAATTATCGAATTTCGTCACAATCATCATTGTCGTTCGCCATAATGGCGAATGTTTCAGTTTTTTTAACTCCACTTTAAACCCGTTTCTTTACCGTTGGAAGATCAAATATACAAGAAGACTTATGTTTTTAAATACTCAAGAAAATTTTAAAAATGCTCCTTTATTTACTTTGTCTTACAGTCATGAGCTAAGCCAGGAAAGCCAAGCTGAAACTGAGATATAAATACAATATGATGAAAAGATGTAGAATGT